ATGCTCACTTCCCCCCTGTGCCAACTCCTAGCCCTGTAGGTGAACTCTGCAAAAAAATCGAAAAAAATCAGTAAAATCGACATCGATCGATAACGAAAAGTGGACTGTGACACCCGCCGGGGCCCGAAGTGTATGTGTGCCAAGTTTGGTCCGGATAGGGCGGAGCCGGGTAAGCCAGCTAGTATCTCATAAATCTTATAACGTAGCTGGTTCAGCGCCTTTTGAGGGACAATCTTAACGAAAACTGTTCTGTCGCATAAAACTCTAGGTCTTTCCTTCCCTTGGAACCAAGCTCCCTATGCTTTGTTTTTGGGGCAGAAAGTGGTTTTTATTACGTAGAGGGACCAAACTTAGTCCTGTTGCATGGGTCTGTCCTTCCCTCAAGGTCAAGCTCCCTGTGCTTTTGTGCTTTCAGAGACAGAAGTACGGCTAAGTAGAAGGGCTAGAAATAAAATTCCAACAAGTTCCTCTATAATTAAGCATTGACATCTAGAAACTTCTAGCGCGAATATCTTCCTACCCGAGGCCATAAGTCTTTTCTTCCCTTGAAACCAAGCTCCCTGCCTTTTTTGCTTTTAGGTGGACAAAACTTTAGCGAATATGTCCTGCCGCCTCGGTCTGTCCTTCCCTCAAGTCCAAGCTTCCTGTGCTTTTTTAGGGGCAGAAGTGTGGTTTTTGATTTTGTGGTTTTTGCAAAGTTTGGGCCAAAAGTTCCAGTGAACATATCCTGTCGCAAGAAGCTCATGGGTTGTCCTTCCCTTGGGACTAAGTTCCCTGTGTAGTTCTGCTTTGGCAGACGCATGGTTTTTGCAAAGTAGAAGGGCCAGAACTGAATTTCAGGCAAGTTTCTGTAAAATTAAACATTGACAAAAATTCCGGCGAGTATCTTGCTGCCTTAGGCCAGTCCTTTTTTCTCTCGAAACCAAGCTCTCTGTGCTTTTCTGTTTTCAGAGACAGGTATGTTTTTGCAAAGTAGAAGAGCAGAAGTGAATCTCAAGCAAGTTCCTGTATAGGTGTTGACAACTAGAAATGAGCGAAAATATCTTGCCGTCTGAGTTAGCCTTTTCTTCCCCCGAAACCAGGCTGTTTGTGCTTTTCTGATTTTGGGGGCAGAAGTGGGATTTTCATAAAGATAAAAGCGGCCAAAAGTGAATTTATAACAACTTTCGGTGAATTTACCGTCTTCGTCATTTCCGAAATTGATTATAGAAAGCGCAGCATGCTCACCTATCCCCACCTCAGTGCCTATTTTCACCCTCGAAGCTCCAACTTCGAAAGAAAAGGAAGAAATCAATAAAAGTATGGGTATTCTCAAAAACAGTTATTACATTCGCAGTAAGCGTGCTCATATAGAACTTTGTGCCAAATACCAGCCGTGTAGCTCTAATTTTACAAAGAATGGATATCGATAGAAGTAATGGTTACTTTCAAGAACACTCATTATTATCGTAATCGGCATGCTCGCTTTTTCACATTTGCCGAATTCCAGCCCCGTTGCTTGAGCTTTGCAAAAAAAATCGATAAAGTTAATTAAGGTAATCGATAACTTCGTAAAATAAGAATGCATTCGCGACCAGCAGGCTCACTTACCTGTCTGTACCAACCAGTGCCGTAGCTTCAACTTCGCGATAAATCGATGGAAGTAAGCCGTTTTCAAAATGGTAATCATATTCGTAATCAGCATGCTCGTTTACCCCCTATGCCAACTCCCGGCCCCGTAGCTTGAATTTCGCAAAAAATCGATAGAATAGGTAAAAGTAATGGATGATTTCGAAAAACCATTATTGTATTCGTAATCAGCATGCTCGTTTACCCCTTATGCCAAATCCCGGCCCCGCAGATCAAAGCTCATAAAAATCGGTAAAATCGACAGAAGTAATGGGTATTTCCAGAAATGGTTATCATATTCGCAATATGCTCGTTTACCCCCCTTTGGCAACTCCCGGCTCCGCAGTTTGAACTTCGCAAAAAATCGATAAAATCGATAAAAGTAATGGATGGTCTCAAAAACTATTATTGTATTCGTAATCAGCATGCTCGATTACCCTCCTGTGCCAACTCCCAGCCAGGGTCAAGCGTGCTGATGCGATTCGGGACCCTCATCTACGACCCGCTCCCCCTCCCCCACTTCCTTTTGCGGTAACCTGCCTAAACGAATGTCAATCTCAAAAGATGCCTGCCAGTGGACCTCAACCAAAATTATAGGTCAGAGAAAGATAACTACTCAAAAATTGGGAGATAATGCAAGTAATGCTTCACCACTCAAAAAACAAATAAGTAGTGAAATTTTACAAATTGGCCGCAAGTCAGTAGTATAAACAAACATGGAAAGTGCTTGGAGAAAAGAGGTTGGCGGAAAGGGAAAATCAAAATTTTGAAAATATCAACTTTTCAGCATTTTTTCAGTAAGCCTCAAAATCCCGAACAGAATTTTCTGATTTTCTGCGTGCTGAACAGCTAAATGCTTTTGCTAAAGCTGTCAACAGAATCTCTACCCTCACGCTTACAGAAATGAGCAAAACTTTAGGGATTGCGTTCCACCAAAGAAAGATGTGGACCATAGAATGATCGCAACCATTACCCACGTCAAAGCGCCGATAGCTTAGTTTAGATAACTTCAAAAATATGGTTAGGTGTGCATAGTGTAGACAATTTCTTTTACGTATAGTGGCTAAATTTTTGAAAACGCCCCTCAATTTGCGCTCGAATACTGGCCAGAAAAGTGAATGCAACAAAAATCTGGTTTTGAGGGTCATTTGTAGCCCTATAAATCCTTAACAGACTAGGCTAAATGTCCGTTTCAAGCAGCTTTGTATAGAGCATAAAAAGAGCTTCTCAAAAATGCTTTTAATTTGTTTCAAGGAAGAAGTTGGATTGAGAAAAGTTGTCCAGAAAAAAGTCCTAGAAAAACGCTCATTAATTTTGCATCAACCTAATATACAGGGTGTCCCAAAAGTAAGTGCACATTCAATCGTCAATATCTCTCTTCTCAATGGATCTTTTTCCATCATATAAGTATTCTGTAGAGGAGGCTTCAACACTTTTTACGAGTGTTTTCAACCTTTTTGACGGTGTAATCACGTTTCTGACAAATACTTGGAATTCGGTAATTACGGTTTACCTGTGATTAACTTTGGAAAGAAGCATCACAGTAAAGTGGAAACTTCATATTCGAAATCAGCGGCTTCCATTACCATAGTATAAGAGATTCTGGCTTGTTTGGTTTTGTTCCGAGGCAGAATACGGCTTCCAATGGCCTAAGGTCCCACAGTAATCCTACAGTAATGAAGAGCAATCGGTGATTCACCCGGCAATGTGCATCTAAGTTGAAGCCTCGTCTACAGAATGGTACTTATATGGCGGAAAAATACACAATGGGAAGAGAGGTTTTAACACACACCCTGTATATAGAATGACTTACCCTAAAATCCGTCATATAAGAGCGGACTTATCTGCAGTTTTGGCAGGAAAATCGATGGAAAAACGCCGCAGAGGGTGTCACAGATAAGTCCGCCTAAATCGTCTCGCAGATACGTCCGTCTGTCCTGAGCATGAGCAAGCGCGACCTAGGAGCACAGACGCGCGCGACCGCTCGCGTGGCTTGCCAGTGTAGATTTAAACGAGGCCGCGATATCGCCTGAAAGAAAGAGCCCAAGGATTCGACAAGTCGTACAGTCTACTTGGTGGTCGTCGCGGATTCTTCATCGCGTACGCTGGATAGGTGAGTTCTTTTCCTATATATGACACCTGTATGAAATTGAGCGATTTCTGCCGATGAAAAGAATCATAATAGGTTTCATCATTGCATCATTGCAATCATCTCAACTTATCATTCATCTTATCGTTTTGGAGGCGACAATGTTTTCAAATGTTTTCACTACATCTCTCGAACCCGTACAGGCTACAACCCTTGAACCTGACTCCTACACTTTTGCTTCCTCTATTGTTTTCATGTTCTGAATGTAGTCTCTGTTGATGCAGCTAGCGCGGGAATCTGGCCACCAGGACTTCAGGGCATCGGCGATGTGGTGCAAAGGCTTTATGAAGAGAAAGAAAAGAACTTATCTCTGAGGCGAAGAAACCATTGCGAACAGTTTCACCAAGGCTCTCGATGACGAATCAATAATAGAAGGCATGAACGAGGATTTCGACGCTTTGATTGTTGCTGATAATAACGATAATGATGGTCGTTCTTTTGGTCAAGTTGTTGCCATGAATGTTTGTTATGAACATGGAATGCTACCTGAATAAAGATCTGTTGCTTCGGTTCATTCTGAGAGCAAAAAAGGCAGCGCAATTGCGCATCCTTCTTGTTTTCATGTGAAAAAAATAAGGCGGACTTATCCGCGGGACTTGGCGGCGCGCGAGGCGCGCGAGGCTGTCACGAAAGCGGACTTAACTGAGAGCACTTTTGCGGTCTTATCGGCGAGGCGGTCTTTACTGCGAGCCGATCTTATATGACGGATTTTAGGGTATATCCAGTCCACCGCTTACATTCAGTGGTACATAATTGAATTGGAGCAGTGCTTCGCAAAACTTCTGTAGGATTTGGCAGAAACGTTAGGAATCGGATTAATCGCTGATGGAAGATCAGTTTGAATATATGACTAGCTGGCTTACCCGGCTCCGCCGTATCCGGACCAAACTTGGCACACATACACTACGGGCCCCGGCGGGTGTCACAGTCCACTTTTCGTTATCGATCGATGTCGATTTTATCGATTTTTTGCAAAATTTGAGCTAGGGGGCTATTTGAGCTTGCTACTCTAAGTAATGACGACACCAGTGGCCGCTCACCTTCACAAACGTATGCGTTCTTGCAACAAGTTCGTTGGTAGTCAAAAATTTGCATTTTCAGTTCAATCCTTAGGAAGTCATCAGTATATAGGGGACGTCAAAGAACGTCCGAGTCCATCATGGCATAGAAGAGGTATCATAATTCTTGTGCAGTAGTCTATGTCTGCGGAGTTGCGGCTCAAAACTATGATATTATTATCTAGGTTGCCACGATGAACGACCCTGCTGAAAGTTCGTTTGCTTCTTCTATCAGTCATCTGCTTTCCGTTGTATCAACTTACGCAGGTCCTTCCGAGAGCGACGTTTCATTTAGGTGATTTCCTCGTACACAATATTCACAAATTATAAAGAAATTGTTCAGGCTGCGTGCTAACAAGCAGCTTGCTTATTTGGAAAGTAAGAATTTCAAAGAGCCCTTGGAGAGAACATGGGTCGCATTATTGAAACTGGCTCTAGATCCTGTGGAGAAGGTATGACTAACCGAATATATTGTACATTTTACGCGCAATTACTTATTACTTGTCAAATTTTCTTAGGTAGCACGCATGGCCCAGAAGCTTGTACGCAGAGTTGAAATGACAGCTGTTGATCTGCAAAATAGTGCTTCCGCAATGACTGAAAAGATTGAGAGTGTTTCCAGTTTTGCTAGTGTAAGTTTGTCATGTCGTGGATACAGAGCCTCACATTTTGACGAGTTCAGATGGCTAAAGTTGATTCATCATCGCATGTACATAGAGATTCATTTTCTGGAGCGGAAGCAGACGCCTCCAATAATGAGGCTGGTGATGCAAATCGAGGTTGAAGTTTGAACTTAGATTCTGGACTCCGATAATGATCATGATTTATATGATTTCCTGGTGGTGTAAGATTTATGATTGGCAGTCCCATAGCAACAGGAATGGCTCTGCTTTCCCCGGAGCAAATCATGCTCACAGTGCTGCTCATTCCCCGGGCGATAATGAGTTTGCTCAGCCATCAAATGGAACGCTGAATTCTTCTTCTTCAACAGCGAAACCTTTTACGTCCAATCAAAGCCGTCAGCAATCAACTCATCAGAGGAAATTGTCGATGCCATCACAGTTTCCTGCTGCATCCAGAGGTAAAGTTTCATGTGTCCATCCATATGTAAACTAATTATCATTGCAGGCTCGGAGCCACGAACGTCACAGCTCACGGATCTCTTGAAGCAGTCATTCACTCCGAAAAGGGGAACTGTAAGTATATCTCTTCTCTTTTTTCATAGCAATTTCTTGTAGTCGGTCGTTACACTCTGTCCTGCAGTTCAATTTGCCGGTTTCCAGTATTTGACGATATCTACTGTTGTTCGAGCAAATCTTCAGCGAAGCTGATAAAGATCTGTTTACAAACAATCTGATAATAGGCTACACCAATAAGTTTTTTCGGTGTAGGGAGCGCAACATTTGTCAACGGAGTGTTTGCATTTTTTTGATCTGGATAAGATCGTGTTACAATTCTGAATTATTTTTGGTTGTTTTTCGAAGTTTTCTTATAGTTTGCGTCTTCGAATCGTTCTATTTTTAGCACATTAAAACGCTGCAAACGGCTTGAGCTAGTATGTCAATGGTTTATTCATTTAACCGTTGACGACCTCGCCATTTTGGGCGGAACTCCCACTAACGTCCTTAGCGCATCTGGCCCGTGCATACGCGCGGATGCACGAAAACATTATGTGGGAGTCTTTTTGTCACTTATTAGTAAAACATGCGAACTTTTTCAGACATACAGGTATATCACAGAGCCATACCAGGACTTACCAAATCAATGTTTTTGCATCGATTTTCCCTCCAATAATCTGTGTAATGGCTATATCTGAGGAATCGTCTTCGAGAAAAGCGTTGTAAAACCAGATGTTTTTTGCGTGGTACATCTTTGTTTGATTTCAAAACAGCTTACAGACTTTTCACCTTCTCGAGAAAACGTAATTAGTATGTATTGATAAAATCAAAAACATACTGATTACCCAATTTTGCGTCCAAAACTTCTGAACAGCTGCCGCGATGCCCTGTGTTCTGTAAGACAATCAGGCCATTAATAGTATTACTGCATAGAAGTTACCTTAAAACTTTTCGTTTGCACCTAAAAAACTAGCGTGCATATGCGCAGATGCACGAAAATGCTAAACGGGAGTCAGGGCGTGCATACGTGCGGATACACAAGGTCGTCAACGTGTTAAAGACTGAGAAATTTGTTTCCAGACAGCTCGAGGTGAATTCTCGAAGGGTGTGCTCACAAGCACCGCTGAACCTTTACTAACAACTGAGTTCGTGCCGTGGTGTAGCCGTATTTTTGTTCAGCCAATATTGGATCTTATCTATGTGAGTCTTGGCTAGTCATACCTCAGTCAGGGCCCGGCACGCGTTGGTTTGAAGCGTTTCTGGAAACGAAGTCCCCCTTGACTTCGCGAAAATTTACGAAGTCCCTCTTGACGTAAAACTCAGTAGAAACCCTTAATCAGTCAAAACAACATTAAAAAAGCGAAAAAAGGGCACTTTGAGGTAACTAATACAACAAAAAAAAGCAAAAAGACAGCATTTCGAGTTGATTTAAGGCTCTGTCATTGGGTAGTGTATCATTTTAGCGCTCAGAATGTCGAGAACCTCCTAGGCCAACCAAATTTGTGGCCTCAACAATCTGGCAGTGCATTTTTCGCCACATAGTTCAAAGGACACCGCGTGTGACTGGAGCGCAATATCTATCAAGGCGTATTTTGCACTACTTTTGGCTCAAAAGAAGAGGAGAGGCAATGGTTTGATTCGCTCTCTTCACTATATAATAGATTTTTGAGCATTTTAATCGTCCAAATCAAAAAGGTTTGAAACTTATGTGAACTCTCCGAAATTTATGCTCCGAACCAACCCAGTTGGTTCGGTGGTTGGTCTAGAAACCAACAAATCCGGAACGGGTATTCAGACACATAAGTTTTGGAACTTTTTACATAACATAGTTTGGAGTAATATTGTATACTCATAGCCCAAATTCGGAGCCATGTGATTGTTTGTGCGCTGTAAACAAGCCATTTGTTTGTGTGAGTCTTGCATTTGAAATTCGCGCGCTTGTGAAAGAACACGTTCAACTCATGAAACCTGACATGTTCGTCGTGTTTTTTGGCGCTTCCTCCAGGACCTCATAAAAACGATGTCCCCGTTGCTTCTAACTCCAAAAACGAAGTCCAGTTTGACCCCAAACCATCGGTGCCGGGCCCTGACCTCAGTCCTTATAAATGCCATTTACAGTGTAAGGAGGAGGTCGAAGATTTCACGGATCGTGCACTTACTTTGGTAAATCCTACTGACTGGGCTATTTTCGTGGAGCAGGGACAGCGTCAGCAAGCACATCACGAATTTGAACACTTTAGGGTATTTAGATTCTTTCTTTTCTCTCAACGTTCCTAATGGTGTTTTTTAGACAACAAGCTGTGACGCCCAACTAGTCTTTACTCGTATACCCAGATGTGCTGCCTCCATCTCACTTTCAATGCTTCGGAAGTGCATTTATTCGACAGATGGAGATCAAATTTATATAACGCGATTTGAAAAATCTTACACCACTCTTGCGCGGAAGTTTTCGTGCAATGGAGATAACCCCTTCAACCCCTTAACCCCTTAAACGGGATAAATGGATCCAAAAGTCACCGATAATACTATATAGTAATTCGCATCCATCTTCCAGAAAAATATTGCTGCCTTACCCGACAAACGAAATTATTGTAGTATCTGGCTGGACATCATTCAAAGATTGTGTATTTTACGTGCACATAATAGCTCTTGCACTCACGTTATGAAACAAGGCTTTTCGCGCTCACCTCAAATACCCGCCAAACTGTAGGAGGACAACCAAAATCTCGTTTGTCCCATTTTCAGATTCAAGGTGTGCCAGCAACAATTACCCAGATTAAAAAAATACGAATTGACTCAAATAACTTTTTGAAATCCAGGGGACCTGAGCCATCGATTTTGTTATCCTAAAATATCACGGATGCGACCTCCGTCATGTAATTCTGCCTCTACATAAGTCCTGACTTATCTGACAGTCTTCGGAGACTTATCTGACTAGATGTTAGGGTAGTAATCAAGAAAAAGAGTTATTCATAGGGCGGACCTATCAGGTCTGTAGGGAAGACATCTGGGCCAAAAAAAGCGGTCTTATCTGTAAGATTTTAGGGTTGTTAGTTTTTTTGGTCTAAGTTGGACAATGGGTTTGTGCATACATGCAACTGAGCGAAAAAGTTCCAAGTACAGAACCAAAGCTTGCTTAATATCCATCTTTCCTTTCAAGAACTCATGGTACAAAAAGTCGTCCTGTTTCTCGCTAAATGCGCGAGACATCTGAAACATCGAGACATTTGAGACATCTCACGATAGTTCGCCACCTTGAGGCCTTATTTGAGTAGCATGTGGAAGTGGATCCAACTTCCTGCTACTCTTGCCTTTCCGCTTTCCATTTCATTTTTGGGACATGTGCGAGATTCGGTGTGAATATGTAATTGAGCAGCGAGTCAATTGCAAGTGAGCGGTTGGGTGGGCGAGATGCAGGCGACCAGGGGCAGACAAAGAATTCGTTAATGGTCGTCGTATCGTACCGCGTTGAGGGTTGCGAGCTCGCAAATATGCGTAGTAGCGATCAATACATGGTTGGGGATCGTTCATACCGCGCCCAAAGGCGGACGAAGGCGGACGAAGCCGGACAAAGACGGACGAAGCCGGACGAAGCCGGACGAAGGCGGACGAAGGCGCGGTCTCGTCTCGTCTCGTTTCTCTCGACAGCACACACACACTCACACGCGCCTTCGTCCGCCTTTGTCCGGCTTTGTCCGGCTTCGTCCGCCTTTGTCCGGCTTTCCGCCTTCGTCCGCCTTTGTGCGCGGTATGAACGATCCCTTAGGCAGTGGGAAGCTGCGCAACCTTAGCATTCCCACCACCCTGGCACTTTTAGCTGCCGATAGTTGGATAACTTGACCAGAGCATGGGTTACCGAAGTACCTTATCTCCTGCAGATCATCGTTTGCGGAGTTATCATGGTGTCGTTTTTTTCCCGCACTTATCACCCCAGTTCTATCAGTAAACAATGCAGCTTCCAGAACTCGCTCACTGAGTTTTCTCCCAATAATTGCATCCTAGCCCCTTTTCCATCTCCCCGTAAGCAGCTTCCATTCTGTTTTTATTTTTTTTACGATACTTCCAGTTAGCTTTCAAGTTTTGGTCGAATCAACATTTTATACGACGGTCTTAATACTACCTGTTCTGTTTACTGCTCCCATATTTACAACGTTTCCAATGCACTTGCCTTTTTGGCTAGTTACTCGATTTCTAATATTATTTTTCTTTATCGACGCTTTGCCATGAATTTAAACGTAAACTGTAGTGCAATTCTCTGCAGTTTTGCTTTTCAGTTATTAGCAGCAAGGCCACTCCATGTGGTCTCCGGCCGGACCGTCATGGCTAGTTGAGCACCAACCGCCACTGAAGACTGCTGAAGTAATTAACACACAATCATCACAGCCACTGAATGACTACAGTCCTCCTACGAAGTGGCCTCGGGCTACGACGCCGGTCAATACTCGCAACACAGACTCTTTTCTGCTAGGCACTTCTGCTGATTCTGGCGTTTACATGAATCTGACCTTTAGCAGCCCTCCTATAATCAATAAGGTAAGCATCCGTTTTCGCATATTTAACCCGGTTCTTTCATTCCATAGCTCATCCCATTTCCCTTTCTTCTTGCCTATTCATCGTTTATTTCTGGCGTGTCGCGAGATTGAGTACGCAAAATTGTCACCCATTCCTCAATCATTGAGTTAAATGTTTGCATTGTTATCAACTGTAAAGTGAAAGTTGCAGACCGATCAAAACAGGATATCTCCTGGACTGAGGACTCCTACTTCCCGTCCAGGGATCCATATGAGCACTACTCCTTCACCTTTCAGGTATGATGCTACACACTTACGTATGCACCATTATCCCCTTGGGGAAGCTTAGAATGAACTGGAACGTACAGCGACGTATAAGGCAGCAACTCCTTCAACACGAATCCAGTGCATGCGTATAGATATGTATGCAATCGTGACAGAACTCATCTGGCTATTACAACGCCATTTTTTTTTCAATCTTTCTGTAGAACGCTTCTAAAAAACCTGTGTGCTCTATAGTTATCATTGTCACTATCTGCAGGATCCTATATTCATGTTTTAGAACGTTTCGTCTGACGTCGTTCGGCTCCCCAACATTCAGCGATCGTGCGCTTCGGTTGTCAAACTCAGAAAATGTTGTCGGTGAGTTGTCCTAACCAATGCTGACCTGTTGCTCAATGTCTAGCTTTAGGTTTCCGCTTTCGTGGCGGATCGATTGAAAAGCCGAAAAGGATTATCGGCATGAGTCCCCGTGTTGAGGCCACAGAAAATTCTGTCTCCAGGTAAGCCAAAATTTCATAATTATCTTGCAATGTCTGTTCATTTTTCAGGTGCCTCCAAATGCCATCAACTAGTGACAGCACAAACCTTGACCAAACATTGCCAATGACTATGGGGGATTTTTATGACTCGCATCTGGAGGCCATGGTTTGTACATTCATTCGCGTCTCCTTTGTCATAATTGTTTGATATCATCAATTTCCTTATTTTGAACGTATCAGATCACAAAAACGTTTTTTTTTTCATGAAGAACCTGAGTATTTGAAAATAAGGGGTTTTCTTAGAGCACCCTGTCGTTCCAAACTAATGCTGGGAGTTTAGAGCTTACGGATTCGCGTGTAGAAAAATGGAGGGATCAGGCTTTGGTTTATGTTGCTTTGGTATTCGCTTAGCGAAGGAGAGAAGATTCGATGAATTCTCTATTTTCCGCTTTTAGACAGACGATTCTGGGCTTTTCTGCAACGATCTCAGCATGCAGGCGACTTCTACGCCTCTTCGGACTTCTTCCCAAGCATGCCTGTTCCCTGCGACTAATGTTGCTCCTGTACCTAACCCGTACGCAGATCTGTGGTGAGTTATAGAAGTGTTGTCGCGCTTTGTAACAAAGGACTATTTGTGAGTCAGTCTTTTCCAGCTTGGAAAATCCAGCAGAAACGCCAATTCTTGCAACGTCCCCAGTTGTCCTGAAATCGTCACCGCCTACACCAACATCATTCAAACGTTGCACTGTTGCACTGGCTGAGGCTGAAATTGGAAGGTACAACTCGTCCACGTTGCTTCCGCGGGACCTCCAGAAAACGGGGTTTTGGGAACTTCGTGCGATTTTAAGCCCATACAGTGCTAGACAGGGTCCGACAGGCTTGCGAAATGCAAAAATCTCGGCAACTAAATTTTGGTGAGACACTGCCTTTAAGGGAATGGCCATAGGTTGTCGGTGTTGTCGGTATTATCGATGTTGTCGATGTTGTCGGTGTTGTAGATGTTGTCGGTGTTGTCGGGGTTGTCGGTGTCAGAGACAGTTTAGAGAGCGCGCGAAACGTGGAGGCTATCATGAGGTCCTACAACGACCGGCAAACTCGGTAACCTCGACAACACCGACAACACCGACAACCTATGGCCGTTCCCTAAGCACTGGGAAACAGTTGCAAATATTCTAAGTTACAATGAGTCTGACAGGGAAATTCTTTTTTACATTGACCTAAAATAGTCACCCCTTGTTACTAGATCCTGCTATACTTTTTGCAATAATCTGTTCTTTAATAGGAAGTGTGCTTTACGTTACCCAACATGATTTGGGGATTTTCAAGAGCTGCGGGAGAACTTCGCGTTATCTGGCAGTCCAACCAAGTAGCCCTCCAACCCCGATCAAATTCTCCCGGCAGACACTGAGGATATGGAAAGTATTGGATATCGCAGAAACCTTCTAAACGTCATGGATGCGTGCTGACATAACACTCCCTGTGGCGTGAAGCAGTGACTGCCCAAGGGCGGAACATTGTGAACATCATATCGCTGCTAAACTTTTAGCTATACTCTCTAGCAGTGTTTCTCGGAATCTCTCATCATTAATAGCACCAGATGTAAGCCGTCACGTCTCCGCCATAACAAGTGTGGGAGGAAGTATCGGAATGAAATATCAGTAACACGATGTTCAGGCTGCACAATACGAGCTTGTGCATTTGTAAATTTTTCATGGTTCCTAGGCCATTTCTTGTGTTCTACAGGTCTTGAAAGAGCTGGACGATAACGCGCCGGAAGTACGTGCTGCAGCTGTTCATGCCCTAGGATGTCTTGTCAAAATCGCTCGGAAACCAGCGAACATGCATCAACAGTGTGGTCCTCTTTTGTTGTCTGTTACTTGTTTATGATTTGTTGCATGAAGATCGACCATGAAATCTGTGATGATCTGTGCAACAAGTGTACAAGATACGGATCCGTTCTTGTGTGAGAAGAGCTTTTGTTAGCTTTGCGGGTGGGAGGAGACATTTTATCAGTAATTGATATCCAGTCCACCGCTTACATTGGTTGTACATAATTGACTTCGAGCAGCACTTTGCAAAACTTCTTTGGGATTTGGCAGAAACGTTGTTGGGAATCGAATCAATCGCTGATGTTCCCGAAAATCAGTTTGAACACAATGTGATTGATATAGCTGCTACCCCAAGTAATGATGATACCAGTGGCCGCTCATCTTTACAAACGTATGCGTTCTTGCAATAAATTTATAGATAGTCAAAAAGATTTACTCTTTCAGCTTAATCCTCAGAAAGTCATCAGTATATAGGGAACGACAAAGAACGTCCGAGTCCAAAAACTATGATATCATTATCTAGGTTACGATGAATGAATGACCCTGCTGAAAGTTCACTTTCTTCTTCTATCAGTCAAGTGCTTTCCGTTATATCAACTTACGGAGGTCCTTCCGAAGGCGACTTTTCATTAAAGTGATTTCCTCGTACTCAATATTCACGCATTACATAGAAATCTGTTTAGGTTGCTTGTTAACAAGCAGCTCGCGTATTTGGAAAGTAAGAATGTCAAGGAGCCTTGGAGAGAACATGGGTCGCATTATTGAAACGCCCTTGATCCTGTGGAGGAGGTTTGATTAACCGGATAGTATTGTACATTTTACACGCAACCACTTGTCAAATTTTCTTAGGTAGCACGCATGGCCCAGAAGCTTGTGGGTGGAGTTGAAGTGGCAGCTGTTGATCTACAAAATAGTGCTTCCGCAATGACTGAAAAAATTGAGTGTTTTCAGTTTTGCGAATGTAAGTTCGTCAGGTCATGGATACAAGGCCTCAGATTTTGACGAGTTCAGATGGCTAAAGTTGATTCATCATCGTATGTAAATAGAGATTCATTTCTGGAGCGGAAGCAGAGCCTCCAATAATGAAGCTGGTGATGCAAATCGACGTTGAAGTTTGAACATAGATTTTGGACTCCGATTTGATCATGATTTATGATTTTCAGATTTATATGATTTCCTGGTATGCATCTATGACTGCCAGTCCCATAGCAACAGGAACGGCTCTGCTTTCCCCGGAGCAAATCATGCTCACAGTGCTGCTCATTCTCCGGGCGATAATGAGTTTGTTCACCCATGAATTGGAACGCTGAATTTTTCTTGTTCAATGGCGAAACGGCTTTTACGTCCAATCAAAGCCGTCAGCAATCAACTCATCATAGGAAATTGTCGATGCCATCACAGTCTCCTGCTGCACCCAGAGGTAAATTAGTTCTATGTGTCCGTCCATATGTAAACTAATTATCATTGTAGGCTCGGAACCTCGAACATAACACCTCACGGATCTCTTAAAGCAGTCATTCACTCCGATAAGGGGAACTGTAAGTGTATCTCTTCTCTTTCTTCATAGCAATATATTGTAGCCAGTCTTTACAATCTGTTCTGCAACTCAGTTTGCATTAGTTTCCAGTACTTGACAGTATGTGCTGTTGTGCCGAGCAAATCTTCAACGAAGCTGATAGAGACCTGCTTACTCACGCACGCCGACGATTTCGCTGCTGAGCTGTGTATTTTTGCAAGACGTCAATACCGCCAAGCGAAAACCGCCTTGGTCAGATCGACCTATTTGCGCTCAGATGCCTAAGGATGAAAAGCTTTCAAAACCTTTCGTTTGCCATGTATTAGATTGTGTAATAAGTTCTGACCCATTTTTGTTTTCATTTTTTTCTCAGTAATTTGAACGGTGTTTTGCAAAATGCATATATGCTTTTGAAAGCTCCAAGCCTGCTCTATTGAAATTTTTGCTTCACTTTCCTAAATTAGAAGATTTGAAAGAGCTATAAATCCGTTTTCGACAACTATATTACATCGCCCTGCAAATAAGTCAGAATGCCTACAAAAAAGCTCAAAAAATCTGCTGCGTATAGACTTCAATAAAACCTCCTTAAATCCTCATCAACGTTGACATTGAGCATCTGAAGGTTCCTTAGAGACGACAGACGAATAATCAGAAAAAAAAGAATGGGTGATCTGAGGTTGTCTTGTTTGTTGTCAAGGTGTTGAATAAATTTTACTCACAGAAAATAGGAAAGCTTCAAAGAAAAAAATGTTGAAATGGATTTTTTGCCTCCTCTTTCTCGTTTTAATGCCAAAAAGTTTTTCAGTTTTCTGCCATGTTGGGAGATGACGCAAATGAATCTGCAGAGCAGATTTAGAGCTCTTTAACGCACATATACATTTTGCAAAACACCCTTTAGAATACTAAGAATTAATTATAAGAAAAAATGGGACAGAACTCAAAGCCTAGTAGAAGGCGCTTGCTAGTGTTACCCGAAGGATGACAAGGCCAACTGCAAGAACTCGAACATGTCGGATCTGACAACATCGACAGTAGCGGATTGCCCTTCTCATTATCACTTTCAACCTACAAAAACTCATGAAAGTGTACTTGGAGTCAACCACAAATTCACTCGACATCACTATCAACTCGACTGCAGAGTGGAACACAGCGAGTGTTGTCAGCAACGGAGACTGCTACATCACTGCTTCACCCATTCAAGAGGATCCTACAACTGCTTAATCGGTACAAAACTAACCTTTTTCCATTCACCGCACTCAGCTAGTAGAGATTGTATGCATGCAGGCACCTACGAAGTGTGCAAATGAGAACACAATGCGGACACTTATCATACTTCAAGCGGCCATTGGATATATCTTCAGAGTTTGCTGTGTGAAACGAAGACCCCAAGAAAACGGAATATTTTTTACAAATGCTAAGTGCTGGCCAAAAACGTAGGCCCAGCCAGAAAAATGTCGCAAGTGCATACGCTGATGATATCAAGATATATGCTAATTATGACCCAATATCAGTCGCATATTCACGAAAAACTGAGACGATCAATACGTTTAATGGGCTAACAATTAATAATCAACACCAGCCCTTCCAAAAGTCAATTGTTGAGATTTAGAAACGATTTGACTGAAATCGATTATGGAATTTCTTTAAAAGTTAAACGTAATGTATGTGATCTTGGTGTAAGCGTTGATCCTTCCCTCAAGTTTTCGCCTCATACTGATTTGTTTCTGAAGATCACATATAATGTACTATTTAATTGGAAATAAGCATGTATAGGCCGTCCGCGCTGCGCACGGAGAGCAACGCTGTTGCGTACATTGAAGGCAGTTCACGACCGGAAGAAGCACAGAGAAAAACAGGCGGCGAGAGTGCACGAGGAAAGAGGAGTGACGCGCAATACACACCTTGCCAACTCTCCGCGCCCTGAGCGGACGGCCTATAAATGAATTATCTACTCTACAAAGCTTATGTGCATCTGTACTTGAAAGCGATAGCTTCATGTGGAATCTGATTCTTTCTGATAACTAAGATCATCCAAATTTTTTGCTAGTACGAATTACAATTCTAATTACAATTTTTGGTAGGAGGTTCCGGAAACCCCCTTTCCGGAACCTCCTACCAAAAATTCACCTCGAAACTGCGACTAATCTTCCGCTTGTTCAGCTCATAAGACACCATCTATCGAGCTTTTTCGTCTTGTCCAACTGTTTTAAATGTTCCGAAACTGCAGTGCGACCTACCCCTAACTTCTGAGCAACCTCCCGTACAGTTGTGCGCGGGTCCTACTTGACCAAGGCCTGCAAATCCTGATTGACGACGGCCAAGGTTCGCCCACGACCTTCTTCATCTTCTAGGCTTTCATCTCCTTCACGGAATTTTTCAAACCAACATTCAACTGCGCGCTTGTTGACAGTTCCTTCTCCAAATGCCATGTTAATATGACGAGTCGCTTGCGCTCCGTTATGACCAAGTTTGAACTCGTACAAGAAAATCACTCGCAACTGCTTTTTTCCATATCTTTAATTGTCTGAATAAAATACCAGATGGCAGCAGAAAACAAACTAGTGGCATGTTTTTGTAGAGCAAGACCTGCGCTACAAAATGATATTTAACTTTAGTACATTTTGATTCTATACCCGTTCACGACCGACCCGCAAACTTCAATGAATCAAATGCGATATTATTTTCCGGACAAGCTAATAGATCATCCAAACATTTCGCTATACGAATTAAATTTGGTAGGAGGTCCCGGTCCGTCGGCCAGCCGCAAACGAAGGGCCCATGAAGTACATCAAGAGTAACTCCTAAGGATTATAAGTTCTTAACGCAAAAAAGAATATAACGATTACCTAAATATAATGAGTAACAAAGGATACTACATTGTGAAAGGGAAGAAAAGGATACAGACCAGAAGTGGGATTGGCCAGGGGCTAGCTATGCGGTTAAAGTACTAGTGTTTATACTTTATACTAAAGATTTATTAGACACAGAGGGTTACAAGCTACAATGCAACTACAAGAAATCTACCTTACAAAAAAAACAAATCGGAAGCGACAGAAAATACATGGAGAGAAAAGGGATTCTACAGAGGGAGTGAAATTCTAGTGAATGAATGTCGAGCGAAAATCCGTGCGCTCATTGCCCGGTGGCTAGAGTGTTTATCAAACCTAAAATTAATTGAGCTCCAACTCCTTTAAATGAAAAGCGTTATGTTACAGTTAATATCGCGGTGTTATTAATCAACATGAAACAATAAAGTGACTTGATAATGCCGACCGATTGGCCATTGAGCATGAACATACAGGGCTTTTCAACCTGAGAGTCGCAAATTTCGCTTGCGCGGCTCCTCCAACGCGGCCGCCTCGCTCAGGCCGCGCGCGGCGTTTGCTGCGTATCGCCCGGATTTCGCCAAGCTTCAGTCGACGCGCAGCCAGCGCCACGAACGCTGCGCGGACCTAAGCGTGGCGGCCTAGCGGGGCGGGTGGGAATCTCAGGTTGTAAAGCCCTGTAACAACAAGCTCGCACGGAATACATCGTTCTTTTGCAGAGGTATGCTCTTGCAATACTTATCATTTTCCAGCGTTGTTTTCGTTGCTGGCGCGTTGTGTTGACAGTCATATTGATATCTAACGATAGCTACTGCACATTGCCATTACACTTCACACAGTTGCTTTTATAGCATTCTACTAATAATTAAGTACATTCACTATCACATTTTCCTTATAAAAATTCCTACAAGTTATAATGTCTGAAGGAGTGGTACAGAGAGTTCTATAAAAAATTCTTGAGTGCCTTCTTTCTATCTTGATTGGAAGCCTTGATTGCTGTTCCTGCATATTAGCTAATGATGTCGCCTTCAAATATGAGCGTTTGATACGCAAGAAGCTCTAGAGAGTATGGATTTTCTACATTAGTATTAAGTAACGCCAACGATAAGTGCCGCCTACACGATGGATTAACTCATATGAGAATCGAAGGGTTTATGCGGTGTAACCGTCTTGACCTTTTTCTTGTACTTCCTTCCTTTAACAATGTCAATCTTCCTATGACTGCCGCAGTGTTGGCATATGCCTCAAAGCGCAACGGCGAGCGACGCCTACGCTATGGACTAACGCGCGATTAACGAAAAACGAAACGATCAATGCGTTGTAACCGATAATCTTCTTCTTCAATAATCTTCTTTACTAGCTTCCGATTAATCGTCGAAGGACAAGCATGAGCTAGCAGCCTAGCCTAGCACCGATAATATTCTTCTTCATTACTACCAATAAATCGTCAACGGACGCAGCATGAGCCTAGCCGTCCTAGCATTGTGAATTTTGTAAGCGCGTATTTGAGCATGGTGTGTGCAGCAAGCTGATTTGAATCCTGAACCTGTACTATCAATAATGTGCTCATTTGATTCTCTAAGTGAGAATATGGGGATTTCGATGGTATACCTGAAAACTGAGAAGTGTATCCGTCGTTGATGAACTCCATTTTCTCTTGGTAAGCCTCTGCAAGACTGCTTACAATCTGAGTTAGAATTAAAACTAAATATGTGCGCATTTGCTGCCACAAGCAGTAAAATTTATCTCAATTGCAACATTTTATCTAGCTCTTACCTTCCGACTCTTTCACCAAGCTTGTGTTTGCATTGCTTATTCAATGAAAGCAATGAAACGTGTTGTGTTGTCGTTTCTGTGAGCAATGTTTTAACGATAGTCTTTATAGATGTTACCCTGATCCTAACAGATCAGAGTTATCTAGCTCCCACCTTTCAACTCGTTCAGCAAGGTTGCGTTTTTAGTGCTTGTTTGTCCATAGCGATACAGCTCGTAAATGTTGTTTTTTTTTATAGATGTTTTAACGATAGGTTCTATAGATGTTACCCTGATCCTAACAGATCAGAGTTATCTAGCTCCCACCTTTCAACTCGTTCAGCAAGGTTGCGTTTTTAGTGCTTGTTTGTCCATAGCGATACAGCTCGTAAATGTTGTTTTTTTTATAGATGTTTTAACGATAGGTTCTATAGATGTTGCCCTGATCCTAACAGATCAGAGTTATCTAGCTTCCACCTTTTAACTCGTTCAGCAAGGTTGCGTTTTTAGTGCTTGTTTGTGCATAGCGATACAACTCGTAAATGTTGTTTTTTTATAGATGTTTTAACGATAGTTTTTATAGATGTTGCCCTGATCCTAACAGATCAGAGTTATCTAGCTCCCAC